GGGGGGGGGGGGGGGGGGGGAGGGAGGGAGGGAGAGAAAAAGAAAGAGGCAGGCATTAAACTAGTAAAATTGAGCTTAGTTTACATTTTACGAAAGTCCATAGAAATTTCAAATTGTAGAATTTACTTTTTCTTTACCTTTAAAATGCGTAGTATACGACAAAGTCGAACAGTTTTAATAAAAATCACTGTTTGAATCATATTAAAAGACTCAAATATGTTTGTCTTGAGAAGCATTATACTGAATATGTCAATTATCGTAATTACAAACTCAAATAGGTTCCACGTATGTGAAAAAAATTCCTTTTTCATTGCTCCAATCTGTTGATTTTAAAAAATTACATTGTTTGATTTTGCTTTTACTACATCATTTTCCATAACTTAAACATCTACTTAAACATGATACATGTGGAAAAGTTTTTATTAAAGTAGTTCAAGATTTAAAGATTTTTAAAATTAAAATTATGCTTCATCCCTCAATTCTCTTATATAGTTTTATTCTGGGATAACACAAACCACGTTTTTTAATTTCTCAAAAATTTTAACTCCTTGAAAATATAAGTAAAAGTAAACATTTTGTCAGAATTATTTTGGCAACTGCACCAGTTATCTCAGCAAATTATTTTGCTTGTAGAGCTAACATAAGGCTTCACCAACACAGATACTTCGAATAAATACATTTTAGAAGCTATTTATGTATGTTTCACTTCCTAACCATATATTCTTACCTTAAAGTAGGAATAACTTATTAGGATGCTCTTAAACAGGCTAACTAATGACAGCTTTAAAATCAGATAGTTGCAAATGGAGAAATTGCTTTTGATGTTTATTTTTTTTAAAGTTTATTACTTAGTTTTTTCTATTTTCTTTCCCACACAGAGCCAGTGAGGACAACTAGAATATTTGTTTATTAAGACAATATTCTTTTGGAATCTCTAAAAAGGGTGAATTTTTAGAAGCAACTAAAAAGAAAACAGGAAAATTGAAGCACTGACACATCTCCTACTACTAGGCATAAGAAAACTAGTTCCCTTTCCTTGTATTGCATTAATTAGAGGCATTAATACTATAACTTAATCTAAATTTTGGAAACAAGGATTTCATTGCTTTGAATTCACAGCTTTAAAAAAAGTCTTTTGGGGTAAACAAGATTGATGGACCCCTAGCTAGACTGACCAAGAGAAAGAGAGAAAAGCCCAAATAAACACAATCAGAAATGCAAAGGATCAAGTCAAAACTGACCCCAAAGAAATGCAAAAGATTGTCAGAGAATACTATGTACACTTGTATGGAAACAAAATTGAAAACCTAAAGGAAATGGAGGACTTTTCTAGAGGACACAAACTCCCCAGATTAAAACAAGAAAAAATTGAGACCATAAATAGACCAACAATAATCCAGGAAATTGACTATGTTATAAGAAAGCTACCTATAAAAAAAAAGCCATGTACCAGATGGCTTTCCAGCAGAATTCTACAAAACATACAAGAAGGAACTGGTACCAAACCTTTTAAAAGTATTCCAGGCAATTGATAAAGATGGAACTCTCCACAAATCATTTTATGAAGCTAACATCACATTGATGCCCAAATCAGGTAAATACCCAACAAAGAAAGAGAACTAACTACAGGACAATATTCTTGATGAACATCTATAGATGCTAAAATTCTCAACAAGATCCTAGCAAACTGTATCCAACAACACATCTAAAAAACCATCCACCACAGCCAAGTAGGCTGCATTCCTGGCATTCAGGGCTGGTTCAACATTCACAAGACCATAAATGTAATTAAGTACATCAACAGATGTAAAAACAAAAATCACATGTTATATCATTAGACATGGAAAAAGCCTTTGATAAAATCCAGCACCCCTTCTTGATAAAAACCCTTGAACATCTAGGCGTAGATGGAACACACCTCAAAATACTAAGAGCCATCTACGAGGAACCCACAGCCAGCATACGGTAGACAGACAGAAATTGAAACTATTTTCCCTGAAAACCGGAATAAGACAAGGATGCCCATTCTCACCCTTCCTTTTCAACATAGTTTTGGAAGTCCTAGCCAGAGCAATCAGACAAGAGAGGGAGATCAGAGGTATCCAAATAGGAAAAAAGGAAATCAAGTTATCCCTCTTTGCAGACGACATGATTCTATACCTCAAAAACCCAAGAGAATCTGTCAGAAAGCTCCTTGCACTGATAAAGGACTTTGGTAAAGTCTCAGGGTACAAAATAAATGTGCAAAAGAGAGTTGCATTCCTATATACCAACACAATAAACAAACAGAAACCCAAATAAAAAGCATATTCCCATTCATAATAACCACACAAAAAAATGAAATACCTTGGCATCTTTCTAACCAGAGATGTGAAAGACCTTTACAGTGAAATCTACAAAACACTGCTCAAAGAAATCAAAGATCACACAAACAAATGGAAAAATATTCCAAGCTTATGGATTGGAAGAATCAGCATTGTTAAGATGTCCATTCTACCCAAGGCAATCTATAGATTTAACACAATAACCATTAAATTACCAGCAGCATTCTTCTCAGACCTGGAAACAACAGTAAAGGAATTCATGTAGAAACATAAATGACCTTGAATTGCCAAAACAAACAAACAAAGCTGGAGGTATCACACTCCCAGACTTCAAACTCTACTATAAAGCTACTATAATAATCAAAACAGCCTGTAATTGGTACAAGAACAGGCATATAGACTAATGGAACAGGATAGAGATCCAGAAGCAAAACCTTTCTCAACCAACTCATCTCCGACAAAGACTCCACCACCAACCACCGGGGAGAGGAGAACCTATTCAGCAAATGGTGCTGGGAAAACTGGCTGACCACATGCAGTTTAAATCAAGACCCCTACCTATCACCATACACAAAGATCAACTCTAAATGGATCAAAGACCTAAATGCAAAACCTCGAACTATAAGAACCTTAGAAAATGCAGGAGACACCCTAAAGGAAATTGGAACTGGCAACCAATTCCTGATCAAAACCCCAAGTGCCCATGCCATAAGAGATAAGATAGACAAGTGGGACTTTATCAAACTGACAAGCTTTTGCAAAGCCAAGGAAACCATCAAAAGAGCAGGGAGATAGCCCACAGACTGGGAAAAAAACATTTGCCAACTGGATGTCTGACAAAGGCCTAATATCTAGGATCTACAAAGAACTCAAATGTACTGAAAAGAAAAAAACAAACAGCCTCATTACAAAATGAGCAAAAGATATGAATAGATACTTCTCAAAAGAAGACATATGAGCAGCCAACAGATACATGAAAACATGCTCAGCTCCTCTAGTCATCAAAGAAATGCAAATTAAAATCACACTAGGATACCACCTAACTCCGGTCAGGATGGCCATCATCAATAACTCAAAAAACAACAGATGTTAGAGAGGATGCAGGACAAAGGGACACTTCTACACTGTTGGTGGGAATGTAAACTAGTACAACAACCTCTGTGGAAAACAGTTTGGCGATTCCTAAAAGATCTAAAAATCAACCTTCCATACAACTTCACAATCCCCCTACTAGGAAAATGCCAAGAGGAACTCAAATCACAATATGAAAAAGATACCTGCACACATATGTTTACTGCAGCATTGTTCACAGTAGCAAGAACATGGGACCAACCATGCTGCCCATAGAAAGAGGACTGGATAAAAAAAAATGTGGTACATATACACAGTGGAATATTATGCAGCCATAAAGAAGGACAAAATTATGAACTACACAGCAACTTGGACAGATTTAGAGTCTATAATACTGAATAGTCTGTCACAGAAACAAAGTTCTGAGAATCACATGCTCTCAGTCATAAGCAGACCTTGAACAACTATCATAATACTATAAGAAAAGCGTTGGCAGTAGCAGGAAGCTGCCTGGGCAGGGGAAAGTGGGATTGGCAGTAGTAGGAGTCTGCCAGGGGTTAGGGGGCATACCTCATCATCAAGGGTGCCTGCATAATGAACATTTGTATTCCTAACCCTGAATTGAACCCCACATCTTTAAAATAATAAATTTTTTTTAAAAGCTTTTCTGACTGGATTTAAAATAAAAGTGGTACATATGTGATGGAATATTCTGCAGCCATAACGAAGAACAAAATTATGAACTTCACAGCAACTTGGATGAACTTAGAATCTGTAATACTGAGTGACCTGTCACAGAAACAAAGAACTGAGTATCACGTATTCTCACTTATAAGTGGACCTTTAGCAATTATCATAATACTATTAAGAAAAGGATTGGCAGTAGTGGGAAACTGCCAGGTGGCGGGGTGGAGGGGGGTAGGAGGGGGAATTGGCAGTAGTGGGAACCTGACTGGGGAAAGGGGGGCACACCTCATCAACAAGTGTACCTGCATAATGAACATTTGTATATCTAACCTCCAACTGTACCTCACAGCTTTAAAATAAAAAATTTAAAAGAAAAATAAAAAGCCTTTCTGACAGGGCCAGCCAAATGTTAACTGAAGATAGTTGAGGCAAGTTTCTAGTTAAATATGAAATTTCTTGTAGAATATGAATATTATAGAAGGAGCTCATTTTATAAGTTAAATATATGTGTAAATTTTAGGTACTATATATATATATCCCTATGTTTTACTCAATTAACTATTATCTAACAATTAATTGATCTACTTATAATATTGGAACAAGTAACTTTTAAATAGTTCAGTACTGTGACCAGCTATGGTGGTTTAATATCATCATATATTTCTTCTTAAAAATAATTATTTAAATTTAGGCATGTTAAATTGAAATATATTCTCACACTGGTAACTTATTATATTAATTTGAAATTAAATGGCTACAATTAAAGCATCTATTAAAAAATTCTTACCGTTGGCCGGGCTCAGTGACTCAGCCTGTGATCCCAGCACTTTGGGAGGCCGAGACGAGTGGACTGCTTGAGCCCACTGGCTCGAGACCAGACTGGACAACTTGGCAAGACCTCGTCTCTACAATAAATCACAAATTAGCCAGGTGTGGTAGCACACGCCTATAGTTCCGCCAGAACCCAGCAGGTTGACACTAGAGTCACCGTGTCATCGTGAGTGTGCCATGGCCCTCCAGCCTGGACAATGGAGTGAGACTCCAACTCAAAAAAAAAAAAAAAAAAAAAAAAAGCCTACTATTTTATGACAGCTCATACATCAGTTATTTATTTCAAAAAATGTTTATTAAAAACCTACTATAGTTGAGATAATGGGAGGTTTCAAAGATGATTGTAGATTCCAGTTTGGGAAATTGGATCCCACTGGAATTCTGAAGTAAGAGTAGGTTTAGAGAATATACATTGCTTTCTAATATGCTGCATAACAGGTTTGCACAATATTTTCTCAGAGGGATTCAGTCAGCAGTTGTCTATGTGGTCAGTGACTTTGGATAAAATTTGAGCTGTAGACATGAACTTGGGAGTCATTAAACTATGAATGATAGTTGATGTCAGGAAACTAGATGAGACAGCATGGTCCACCCTTTATTGTGTAATCCACGTCTATGTCTCTTGCTTCATTCTCAACATCCTCCAAAGTAGTTTAACATCTCTCCAATCTCCACCCTAACCAACCCATCCCTAAACTGCAGTCACTGGGAATGATGTTCCATATATGTGTCAGTGTTGCTGCTAACATTCTGCTTGTTCTTGTTGTCCATTATGCTATGTACTCATATACTCATTCTCTCTTTTAACTTTTAGATTATTCAAAATTCAATTCAAACATCTCCTTCCCTTGCAAACCTTCCTTTTTTGACCTTACTATTCTGTGTGAGAAACTCCTTGTTTGTTTCCACAGTACTCTGTGTATTTCTCTGTTAAACTACTTAACATGCTGATTTGTAATTTCGATTAATTTGTCTTCTCTCACCAGCCCGATTTCCCTACCCACACTTCCCTCTGATTTTAAGTAAGTATAGGAAACAGACATACTCATGTCCCAGAGAAAGCATATATTCTATTATAAATTAAGAAATTGCCATACTTGTTTATAAACAGATTCCTTTATGTTTCCTGGTAGCCATTTCCCTTGAGCCTGCTGACATTTGGCCAGGCTGAGGAAATTCAGTGTCTGAATCTCGCAAGCAAAGGACCAGATCCTGGTCTTGTGAGGTCCTGCTCACATCATCAGTTAGCCTCTCTGGCTAAAATTTGATAAAATTTGTCTCATTTCCTTCATTTCCTTCTTATTGCAGTGAAGTATTGGTTGGATTATTCCCTTAAGAACTCGGAGAAACTAGTATAAAGAATAAAACTTTATCTAGATGCCAAACATTCAGAAATGTAAGGAGTTATCCCAAGGTCATAAGAATATGGCCATAGAAAAGGAAAAATCCAGCGTAAAAGGAGAGTGCAAGCTTCAAAAAATGAGGGGCTTGTTGAATGCAGGACTGTCAAAAAAATCATTGGAAGCTCAGGTAACGCCATCCCTCGGAGCTCAGATGCAGAAGAGTGATTGGTCTTGTTTGTCTAATAGAGTGAAGAATGTTTGGGGGAAGGTTTTAAAATACAAGGAAGGGAATTTTAAGGCAACACCCGTGTGTGTTAGAAACAACACAAACTTTGAGGGATTGTATTCCAAGTCCACTATTCATTAATATGTGATTTTAGACAATTTACAGAGCTTACAAGAGACTTGGGTTCCTGATTTGTAAAAAAGGCAGGCACAATATCTACAAGGCTAATTTAAAGATTTGAAATGTTATAATCAAAATGACTGATAGCTTGTTGGTGAAAACTTATTATTATGGATAACATAATAAAAAACTAGGTTAAAATGTGGCAGAACTGAACTAAATAGTAAAGAGCATAAAGAGAAGGATAAGTAAATACAAGGCTGCAAATTGGGCAGTGAGGATAATCTTGAGTTAAGAAAGTGTTGGAGAAAACAATAGGATTGCGCACTTGGGAGTATCCTGTCAGCTAGAAGGTATAGTGTCTCTGTAATCCAGTTCTGGTGTCTTAAGACGGCCTAATTGTATGAAGCCCACTATGGCTATGGCAGCTGCTCAAACTTGGCACAGCACAAAGAATAACAGAGGGATCTATGATTCGATTTAGAAGGATCTTCATCTGTCATTTAAGCCAATTCTGCCATTTTATAGTAGAGAAAATTGAGGTTAAGAAATATTCAGTAATGTGGTCAACCTCTTACAGCTTATCAGAGAAAACCACAACCAGAGCCAAGTCTACTGAATCCCGGCTCGGTGCTCTTTCCACTGTAGTGCACGTTAAGTGATTTTTGGGAACTCTTCACCCTCACCTGAGCCCTCTTTGCTTTATTTTCTCTTGATTCTATGAAATCTTCTATGGTCTTTCTAACTAGCTTGAAAGTTATTACATACAATGTGATTGGATTTGACCTCATTTTTGTCCAATATCACAACTCGCAGTAGTATTACAATTTTCCAGTAAAGATTTGAGATTCATTTATTTCGTCCAAATATCAGACGCAACTTCTCTGTTTAAATTTTCTACCTAAGATATTTTATGTTACCACTTATTGATGCGTATGACACAATACTGTAATCAGTTTGTAGGCATACATTTTCATCATTTAACAACTACTTTTATAATTTGATTTTAAAAATCAAATTGTGAAATATTTTTCAAGGATAAAAGAATATCTATCAAGTTAACCATCTGTTTATCTACCTAGCATAAAAGTAATAAAATGAACATTCATGTACTTAACCACCCTGTTAAGTGTAAGAACATTACCAATCTTTTAAACTAATTTTTGTCCCTTTGACATGCACCATTTTAAAAGTGATTTTTACAGCAAGATCAGTGTTTAAAGTATGCATATTTTCTATTGTGTTAGTCTAAAATTCAAATTAGATCATTAAAGTTTGTTTTGAGAAGTGGAGGAGAAATTCATATACCCTTTTAGAAAATTGTAGCTAGTGTCGAAAATGAGGTTAGGAAATCTCCTTGTTAGACATATAACACGTTCACACACACAAATTTTAGATTACCTTAAGTAGGCTCTCAATAGTATAAAATGCAAGAAAAAAGTAGTAAACACGTTCTAATTCACTGTCATAGATTTTATGTAACTGGGGTATCCAAGAAATTATAATAGGATATATATTCATTAGTGTCACAAGGTATCCAAGAGCCTCAAATTCATCAGTAAATACTATATTATGGCATACACGAAGAAATAAATGTCTGTAAAACAAAAAAGACAGTTTTATCTGGTAAAATAACGACATCAAATGATTTTAATATATACTCAGTTCTGTTTTAGTTATCAATAGCCATAGAGCCCTCCTTAATTCTGGAAGCAGCTACGACTAATTAACACTTTCTGGCATCCTCCTTCAGACACTGTCCCTTTAAGTTCCTTCCCTGCTAAACATCATGGGTCTAGTTTCCCCTATTTCTTTTCCCCCTTCATCACCTCTTATTCACTGCTGAAGCCTCAGTGCCTGTGTGAGAGAGAGGGGCCGTGGAGTGTAAGCCTTGTTAACCTCAGTGTCACCCCATCTTTGTCCTTCTCAGTCCTCTTTCCAGAATGTTTTTCTTGGTCTCTTCCTGCAGTAAAACCATATCTGGCACAACACTACACTTGAGGTTACCTTTGCTTAAGCTTGTTGGCTATATTCTGTATTGTTTTTGCCAGATAGGTGAATTGAAGGAGATACAATAGGGGCTACCCACAATTCCTTTAAATCTTTAGTGTTTATGTTAATTTTTCAATTTCTCAAGGAATGCTGTATGGCTTCTTACTATTTTGGTTATAGGTTCCACTTGGCTATTCTTGTCATAATGGTTCTTAATCCATAGGTCAGTGAATCAAAGTGAATGATACTAAACATATCAATCCCAATTCCAAGTCCTCAGGGACTTGGAAAACTAACCACACAGTGGACTTGCTGAGCTCTGAAACAAACTGGGCTATAAACCTCATACATACATCATCTAGCTTAAAAGCGCCAGTCTAATTTGAAGACCATGATAGCACTTCAGGTCTTTGGTATCAGTATTTGCATCTTAAATGTCATATCCAAAAGTCATAAAAAAGTCTGCACTTTGGGAGGCCGAAGTTTGGGATTGCCTGAGCCCAGGAGTTTGAGACCAACCTGGACAACTGGTGAGACCTCGTTTCTACAATAAGTAAAAAAAATTAGCCAGGTGTGATGGCTCACGCCAGTAGTTCCAGCTACTTGGAAGGCTGAGGCAGAAGGATCGCCTGAGTCCAGCAGGTCGAGGCTGCGGTGACTGTGAGCATGCCACTGCACTCCAGTCTGGGCAACAGAAGAAGTCTGAGTATTCACTTTCCCCCAGTGCCCAGTAACTCTTGTAAAAATGACTAAAGGCCCTTTTGAGAAAAGATTGACGGAACATTGATCATATATCCTTGTGATGTTGCAGGTTCTTTCTCAAGGTATCTGGTTTGAGAATGACTTAGCTATTTAGAGAAGGTGATGGATCATGATTTTCCTGTGAGAAGTTGATCTCATCCCTTTTTGTCACTAGCTCTCTTTCTGGCAAAGTAATACTCTAGTTAACTCTTCATTTAATATTGCCCTATGGCACACATTATTTTTTAGCCATCCCCACATCAAGGCATTTTGCGGGTTAAGGCACCATAACTGCTACTCCAGGTTTGCTGCCCATAAAAGAAAGCTTACATGTCTTGCCTCTGACATTTAAGTGTTGACGTTTGTGCTCTGTCTTTCCTGAATTCCATACATTCTTTTGATGACTAGAGAGATCAATTCCATGACAACAATAGCCTGCAGAAAACTACCACAGAATTTAGCAGCAAGCTTCACTATTGCCTTGGTAAATGGAAATGTCCTCTAGGCCTTCCCAGGAAACAAGGTCATATCATTGGTTCCTCATTCTCACATAATAAAACTATGAAATAAATATTTTCATTTTTATTATCTGTCCTTCATTTACTGTAGATTATTGGCCTGGTCAAGTTTCAAAGAACAATTTCATACATGTAGTAGCACCAGCTCTAAGCGTCTTTGACAGAGTACTGAGCCCTGAGTCATCATGGATAAGATCACCTATGCCAATAAATTCTCTGCAATCTGATCTTACGTTGCAACCTTCTGGTGTGATACCTTCAAGATTTATTCTCTCATATGTGTATTTTTAGTTGGGTCCTGTAATTTCTGCAGTAGAGAACCTGTAGCTTCCTGAAGCAGACACCCTATTTCCTACACTAGCTGGATTGAGACTTGACTGTGTGATTTCCCTAAAAGCAATGAAGGTGATAAAAATTAATCTTGATCAAAAGACAAGCTTCATTTTGTGATGTCTTTGCACCATCTGAAGGTCATAGGGGGCTACTTTCCTCTAGTGGTGGGGCAGGGGGTTCTGCCAAACCAGATTGTTCATGAGAATTTGGGGATTCAAGATCCTCAGGTTTGCCCATCCTAGTGTTGCCATGTTAGGCCTCAAGACCCCAATCTTTATATTTTTCTTTTTTCTTTTTAGATGAGAAAATATAGTTTATTTAGAAAGTAAATTAGAGAGACAGAAAAAGAGGAGATTCATTTCTCCAAGGTAGGGAAGGGGGGTCAAAGCCAAGAAACATGGCAACAGCCATAGCCCAAAGAGCACATGGCCACACCAGAGTCTAGTAAGGCAATGGCCCCAATCTTTTTCTATTGTTGGGAGCCAGCCTTGGAGGCCCGCCTGATCGACAAAGTCCAGGTGCACTGAGGACCTCCGGCCGCAAAGCAAGTCTGGGCAGCTGAGGCCCTTCTGTCTTCCGTCTTTGCTGTTGATACAGCTGAAGAAATTCTGTGCAGTCGTGGAAGAAGAAGATGGCATGTTTATGCGAAGAATCATAGCTAACCTGGAGATGTCATGGTTCATTTTTCCATTTTCCCACTATACCGCTTGGCCTTTTCTAACATATGCAAGGGTTAAACTCTGAAGCACATCAAGAATGCTTTCTTTCACTTGGTTATAAGTTACTAGATATTGCTTAAGTAATAAGTGATATAAGTATATTCACTCCTTATTTGATTTAGGATTATGCAGTTTAGTATTGAGACTTAAGGTTCTTTAGAAGCACAAGTTTATAGTAAGTTTATTATGAGCTCATTATAAGTCCTAACACTTATCTAGGAGTTATGTAGGTGATTTATAACACTGTTTTCACTGACATAGGATAAAGATTATCATTAAGGTTTTTACTTAATTCAGTAGTTAAAACTCTAAGTTAACATTTATAAAGTGGGTTTTCACTGAACTCATAATATATTAATCAGACACTTTTATGACAACTTAGCTAAAGACAGAAAACAACCTTGGGGGCCTGGGAAACATTACTAAAAGCTTCTTTTGAGTTTTCTTTAGAAACAAGCACTGCAGGATAAGAGAAAAGTAATGAAGACACCTGGACAACAAAGGCGATTACAGAGCTCTGAAGAACATAAAGCCCCAAAAGGAAGACTACTGCTAAACTTTCTGGAGACAGTTCAAGGAGTGTAATTTGGGACTTTGGACTAAAACTATCATCTTTGGCCTTATGAATAAGACTCATTGTCTGAATGTTTACAGGGTTCTTGGCTTGTTTATTGCTAAGACCACTAGATGGTGGTAACTTGTAGAGCATATGTACTTGAAGGAATTTTCTTTGTCTTGCCCCTTTACGAATGGTATAAAAGCTTTGTGTTAACTAACATTAAATTGTCATCTGTTCAAGAAGCAGGTGTCCGGTATATGATTTTCGTCTTTCACCTATCCGTCTCTCCTTCAGGAGATCTCACGACCTTGTGGGGCAGGACCCCGCATTCTATCATAGCCTTGACATTGATATCGCAGCCCTGTCAATGTTATGCATTTATTTTTCTTTGTATAACTCCACTGCCACTTTCAAAATTAGACATACTATATTGATTTTATAACTCCATTTTGAATAATTTAAGTCAAATTTTAAATTTCAATAATTGTATATTTCTCCATCTTGCTATTCAGTTTTTTTGATGATTGGATTTATTATATTTGTGTTTTCATTGTTTATTAATTTCAATCGTTCAGTAATACTTATAGTCCATACAGAATAATTCTAATAACTGAAATTTTAGAAATATAAATCTGTTGTTCTTTCTGATGACTTTCTTTCACGATTGTTTCCTTGCGTGTTCATTGATCTTTGATAATAACTTCATTTATTGACAAGGGGACTCAATCTTGAATGGAATATTATTCTGTATTTAACTAACATTTGTTCAGTACTTGCCCAGTGCTATTCCCCCAACTAAATTACATGCACTATTTATGCAACCTTTACACCAATCCCATGAAGCAGAGGATAATCCAATTAGATATCTTAGTACCTACTGTGTGTTAGTTACTTTGCCAGATGCTTTACATATATGTTACTCTCCAGAAAATGACATAGATATTACTATACTCATTTTTCAAATGAGGAAACTGAGACCTGAAATTTTTATTTAGCTAATAAATGATGGGACCTCAGATTCTAAACCTTGTCATCTAAGTCCAGAATCTGCACTCTTATTTACATTGGGATGATGATATTTAAAAGATAGTCTAGGCCAGGCTCGGTGGCTCAGCCTATAATCCCAGCACTTGGGGAGGCCAAGGTGAGTGGATTGCCTGAGATCATGGGTTTGAGGCCAGCCCGGGCAACTTGATAAGACCTCATCTCTACAATAAATAAAAAATTAGCTGGGAGTGGTAGCACATGCCTATAGTTCTGACTACTTGGAAGGCTAAGGCAGAAGGATCGCCAGAGCTTAACAGGTCAATGCTGGGGTGGCCATGAGCTTGCCACTGCCCTCCATCCTGGGCGATGACATGAGACTCTGACTCAAATAAATAAATAAATAAATAAATAAATAAAAATAAAAGATAGCCTAAAGGATACATGGGCTATCAGCATTAGTGTTCCAAATCTCCCTTTCTTTCAGTTGTATCAATAGAAATAACTACTCAGAAAAGTTGTAGCTTAAGTCAGTACTGAAGGTTTTTAAAGAATTACAGTACAAAAAAAACCCCTTTTGATGTGTGAGTGTGGTGAATTAAAGATAGCCACAAATTCTTTGATAATGCTATTGAGAAGAGGGGTCTTATTCTATCCCTTTGAATCTAAGAAAAGAATAAAAGCCATCCAAATTGGAAAGAAAAAAATTAAAGTTATCTCTATTTGTGGACAAAACAATCCTGTATACAAGAAACCCTAGAGACTCCACAAAAAAGCAAACTAAATTTAATAAACCAAATCAGTAAAGTTTCAGGATATAAGACTGATGTATAAATATCAGTTGTATTTCTATATACACTAGGAATGAATGCCCTGAAAATGAAATTATTAAAATACTTCTATTTATGCGAAGAATCACAGCTAACCTGGAGATGTCATGGTTCATTTTTCCATTTTCCCACTATGCCGCTTGGCCTTTTCTAACATATGCAAGGGTTAAACTCTGAAGCACATCAAGAATGCTTTCTTTCACTTGGTTATAAGTTACTAGATATTGCTTAAGTAATAAGTGATATAAGTATATTCACTCCTTATTTGAAAAGAACAAAATATTTAGGATTACATTAACCTAAGACTTGTATGCTGAAAACTTGAGAAATTACTAAAAGAAATAAAAGATTAAAATAAATGAAAAGACATTCCATGTCCATGGATTGGAGGGCTTAATATTGCTAAGGTGACGATACTACCCAAAACAACTACAGATTCAATGCATTCCCTATGAAAATCTCAATGACCGTTTTTGCAAAAATAGATAAGATACTTCTAAAATTTATACAGAATTGTAAGGGACTTCAAATAGCTAGAACAATTTTGAAAAAGAAAAGTTGAAGGATGCATACTTCATATCAAAATTGTACAGCAGCTGTGGAAGACAATTTGGAGGCTCCTCAAGAAATTAAACATGGAATTGCCATATGACCTTGCAATTTTATCCCTAAGAGTATACTAAAAAAATTAGAAAGCAGGTATTCAAATATTTGTATTGCTCAACATAGCACTATTCACAGTAATTAAAAGATGGAATCAACTCAAATGTCTATCAACTGATAAGTGGACAAAAAGAATGTGGTATATCCATACAATGGAATATTATCTAGCCATAAAAATGCAGAACATATTGATACATGCTACAAAGTGGATGACTCTAATACTACTAATACATGCTACAATTTGGATGCAAACATTCTGCTACTTGAAAAAATCCAAGAACACAAGGCTACATATTGATGATTCTATTTATGTAAAACATTCAGAATAAATAGTTCTAGAGAAAGAAAATAGACTGGTGCTTTCTAGGAACTGGGAGGAAGAAGGAATGGTGAATGACTGCTTAATGAGCATTCAATTTACTTTTGGGCTAATATATAACACAACACTGTACTCTTCAAAATGGTTAAAGGTTAATTTTGTGTATGTGAAATTTACCTCAATTTAAAAAATAATATTATTCCTATCTCTTTTATTCCTTAAGTTACTTTTTGTATACCTATAAGTAATTTAGTTGTAGACTTTTTCAAAATATTTTGCAAAGTATTTGGGATATAATTTTAAAAGAAATAAATGAAGAATTTCAAATTAATATAATAGCATTTCCTGCTAAGGTTCAAAAGCTCTTACCTTGATGAGATCCCTTTTTCTTTTTTAGTATTATACACCCAATGGAGCACCCGTTTTCTAATAAAGATAATAACTTTTTTGCTTTCAGAATAATTCTTTATTGTTTCAAGACTCATATATCTAAAAGGAAAAAGAAGAAACCTTTAAACATGTTTTAAACATTTTGGGATAAATTTAAGGCAGTATTGTCAGAAAGCAGGAAGACTATTTTGTGCAGTGATGACTGGAAATGAGCATACACTTTCATGAGCATAGTTCAAGTCATGAAGTTGTAGACATGAACATATATAGACAATCATGAAGTTAGATTGTAGGGCTTACTCATTAAACACAGAGTAGTAAAAATTAAAGATACACAGTTTAAAATAGTAGAGCGTTCAATGTTCTGGGAGATAAAACATACTATGATTCAAATATTGGGGATTCAGACATATGTGTTTTCATGCTAGGTCATTGTCTGGTATGGCAACGAACAAAATACCTGATTGCTAATCTGTAATATGAGGATAAAAAATACCTATGTAAAGCTGGGATAGTTAAATAAGAAAGCATGTATAAATAGCATCCAGCCATCTCACACATCTTCCCATCTCTTGTTTTTCACATTCAGGGGAAAGTAGTAAGATTTAAATGACTACAAAAGTTTTTAAATGGTAACTTAGAAAAGTCAGTGCTCATAAAAACCCAAAAGTCATTTTGGTAGCACTTGTCTCAAGTTATCCACAAGTTTCTGGTGACCTTTTTATTGAGATAGCTCAAATCTGTGTATGTGATTTGGTCTTGCTCAGCCGACCCTCTTGGTGGGAATTTGCAAGGAATTTGCTTGCTCCTGACCAGATACTTTCATTGTCATCATCAGAAGGAGAATAGAATAGGGCTTTGCCCTTGGGTCTGAGGCCCTATTTTGTAATGTGGCTTAATGGAAAGGCACTTAGAAACCTCAATCCCAAGGTGCACTTTGCCCTTCCTATTGATTACAATGTTCTGACTTTAAAATTTGTGCAATTTTCTGTTACAGGGATATTAATGCAATTAAAAAGAATGAATCCATTCAATTATCCATTCTTTAATATAATAATGTGGTAGTGAAATGGAAAATCTTGAATGCGTATATGACTTGACTCACTCAAAATTTTAAAAATATTTATTGAACATCGACTATGCTTGCTAAATGCTAGGGATAAACCATAAAGAAATACCAATCTCTGCCCTCAAGTTTCCAGTAGACTAGTGGGACAAAACATGCAAATAACAATCACAGTAAAGTGTAATAAGTGTTGTGGCAGAGATAACAAGAAGGCACTCTGGATCCAAAAATGTGCATTTAATATAGTCTTATTGTGTATTAATAAGTGTGCAATATTTCACAGCCCAAATTACTAAGTAATTCAGGCACTTGAATTCCTATTTTACTTCAACATGTTCACTGTTTAAACCTGATTTAGGAAATAGTATGACCTCTTTAACTGGATAGTAAGGCAGCCTGGCTTTGAATTCCAGTTCTGTAATTTATTCGTTAAATGACCTTGGGTAAATTATTTATCTCTGCACTTCACTTTTTTCACCTGTATCATGAAGATAATAATTGCACTTATCTCATAGGATTTTTATGAGGTAAAAATAGATTAATATATGTGAAGTGCTTAAAACTGCACCTAGCACAGTACTCAGTAAGAATAAACTACCTATTTAAAGCATTATTTCTTAGGCAATTATACAGACATTTAGCATAGGTCCTGGTGCCCCAATTTAAACCCTCTACTCTTTTCCCTTTAGACTTGTTATTCTTGTCACAGGATACCCTAAAACATGAGTCCACTGATAGCAATAATCAGCAAATGGCAAAATCAACTCCAAGGTAGTTCAGCAAAGAAGCAAGAACTGAATATAAGTGTAATCAATAGAAAGTTCTCTAGGAGATGGAACATGATTTTGTTAATCTCAATATTACCCACAGTGCCTAGTATATAGCTTTTCACGTATTGGTATTCAACATATGTCTCTTTCATGTATGAATAAAAATATAATATATCCCCAAAATTGCCTGCATTATCCACTAACAGTCCTTTCAACCCTTTGCACCCTACTCACTGTAGACTTTCTCTCTGTGTCCATTTTCCCTGAGTCTTCATAAGTACATGTTGTTTCTACCTTTGTGGGAGATTTTAAAAGGAAAAAAATTCAAGAAAGTGGCCTCAATTGTTCTGTTATTTTGTTTATAGATTCATCTCTCCTGGACCAATGTAGTGATGGTGCTTTTCATTATGTCATTTACTTATTCATTTAAAAACTCCCACTATGCACTGTGCATCTATCTTTAAAACATGAAGTATATTATTTGAAATGGATCACATTTGCCCAGCCCTCTGTTCCACCTCTTTCAACTTTACTCAGGTCACCTAAGCATTGGAAGGGACTGGACCAAGAGGACAAATGGAGGCCCTTTCACCATAGATGAAAATATTCAAACATTATAAATACAGGAAACAGAATTTTATTTTTATTTTTTTTTTGAGTCAGAGACTCACTCGGTCGCCCAGACTGGAGTGTAGTGGCCGCTCCCAGCCACCGCAGCCTCGCCTGCTGGGCTCCGGCGATCCTTCTGCCTCAGCCTTCTGAGTAGCCGGAATTACAGGCATGCGCTACCACACCCAGCTAATTTTTTGATTTTATTATAGAGATGAGGTCTCGCCTGCCCAGGCGGGTCTCGAACCCGCGGGCTCAGGCAATCCACTCACCTCAGCCTCCCAAAGGCGGGGGATTACAGGCTGAGCCACCGAGCCCGGCTGGAAACAGAATTTTAAATAAGATACATTTTATCTTCCTACCATGACACACATAGTGTCATAATAATTTACATGACTAGGCTTAAAACGAAAACTTGTAGTCTCTTTGAAAACCTCACTTGAAATGCACTGAGAACATGCCCTAGTTTCTAGCTGCTCCTCTTCTCACATGCAGCTTTATCCATCAATGTACCACAAAACTGGTATATATGAGTGGACTGTACCCAAGGCTGGCTCGTCCCTTAGGTTGAGGAGAGCGTACAACAATAGTCCAATTTGCTCATGGGATGATGGGCCAGTGGTAGAAGACCAAGTAGGCTCTGGAGATGAGCTCAGGACAATCTGAGCAAAGGATTCTGGTGTTCTTGACACAAGGGCAGTGGTCTAGAACTGGAAGGTATGTCTGGGCTTTAGGTGGACAGTGTTGCAACTGTATTGAAGTTTAACTCCTCCCTCTGTTCAACCATCGATCTTTCATTCCTTCACAGGGAATGAACTGAAAATATGTCTCAATACACCAACTTTGAGGCTTACTGCATACTGTGGAGACCTACTTTTTCTTTTTTTCTTTTTTGAGCTGCAGTCTCACTCTGCAGCCCAGGCTGGAATACCGTGGCATGCTCATGGCCGCCCCAGAGGCAACCATGGGCTCTGGCTATCCCTCTGTCTCAGGCCCAAGTAGCTGGAACTACAGGCACGCACTACCTTGCCTGCTAATTTTTTTTTTTTTTTGTAGAGGATGGCCGAGATCTACTTTTAAGGAAATCACTGCAAAATTACAAGTGTGGTTGAGTATTAAGGGAAGATGTGTGGGCCAGGCTTGGTGGCTCAACCTGTAATCCTAGCACTTTGGGAGGCCGAGGCAGGTGGATTGACTGGGCCCGCAGGTTTGAGACCAGCCCAGGCAACTTGGCAAGACCTAATCTCTACAATAATAATAAAAAAAATTAGCCAGGCATGGTGGCGCATGCCTGTAGTTCCAGCTACTTGAAAGGCTGAGGTGGAAGGATCACCGGAGCCCAACAGGTGGACACTGGGGTGGCCGTGAGCATGCCACAGCACTCCAGCCTGGGTGACACAGTGAGACTGCAACTCAAAAAAAAAAAAAAAGGAGAGAGAGAGAAGATGTGTGAAATTGTACAAAGTACTTTGGGTGCATTCCCTGTGCACTGGGAAGGTATGCTTGGAGAGATTAAGGAAGGCTTTGCTTTTAGGTGGCTTAAATAATCTAAAAGGAAGAGTAGTTTACCACAGTTTATCTTAGGGGGCAAGGTGGGCAAAAAGAGAGAAGGAAGAATGCTTCAGCCAGAAGAATCAGTTTGTTTAAATGCATAGAGGTGTAAATGAGTACTGCAAGTTTGGGAAAATGAAAATAGATGATTTGGCCTGAGTGCGGTATGCAGCACAGGCAGCGGTTTGCACACATACAAGGGGGACCCAAAAAAACTCGGAATTATTTTTTGGAGGGTGGGTTCCTTGTAGTACAGGCATACCCCACTAGATAAGTGTTCTAAGAATGCATCAGCCTCAGTGTACCAGCTAATGTGTGAGAAGCTTTATTTGGCTTCAGTGAAAATTTTTTGGAGATTCTTTCAATGCATTTGTCCTCTGGGCTGAGTGTTCAGCAGTTTTTGACCCAAAACAGCATGACCCCCATGTCCCATCCTCCCTATTTACTTGAATTCACCCTGAGAGACACTTCTTTTGTTTCCTCACATGAAAAATGTCCTCAAAGAGAAAAATTTTGTCAATATGGAAGAAGTGAAACAAAAACAGCAAAAGCACTAAAAAGCAACAAAAGAAAAATACCAAATAAAGACAATCAGAAATACCAAAGATCAAATCACAACTGACCCTGAAGAAATACAAAAGATTATCAGAGATTACTATGTACACCTATATGGAAACAAATTTGATAACCTAAATGAAATGGAGGACTTTCTGACATCACACAACCTCTCCATGTTGAAACTAGAAGACATCGAGACACTAAATAGCCCAATAACAACCCAGGAAACTGACTCTGTCATACAAAAACTACCTACCAAAAAAAGTCCTGGACCAGATGACTTTCCACCAGAATTCTACAAAATGTACAAGGAGAAACTGACACCAATCCTACTGAAAGTATTCCAGGCAATTGAGAAAGATGGAATTCTCCCCAAATCACTTTACGAAGCTATCATCATACTGATACTCAAACCGGGTAAAGATCCAACAAAAAAAGAGAACTATAGGCCAATATCCCTTATGAACATAGATGCAAAAATCCTCAACAAGATTCTATCAAATCGGATAGAAAAATACGTCTCAAAAATCATCCACCATGACCAAGTAGGCTTCATCCAGACCATAAATGTCATTAAGTACATCAACAGATAGAAACACAAGAACCACATGATTATCTCATTAGATGCAGAAAAAGCTTTTGATAAAATCCAGCATCCATTCTTGATAAAAACGGTCAAACACCTAGGCATAGAAAGAACATACCTCAAAATAGTAAGTACCATCTACAATAAACCCATAGCTAACATATTGCTAAATGGACAGAAACTGGAAACATTTCCCCTGAAAACTAGAACAAGACAAGGATGCCCACTCTCACCCCTCTTTTTCAATACTGTATTGGAAGTCCTAGCTTGGGCAATTAGACAAGAGAAGGAAATCAGGGGTATCCAAAAAGGAAAAGAGGAAGTCAAGTTATCCCTCTTTGCTGATGATATGATCCTATACCTTGAAAATCCAAGAGAATCTGTCAAAATCCTGCTTGCACTGATAAAGGACTTTGGTAAAGTCTCAGGGTACAAAATAAATGTGCAAAAGACAGTTGCATTCTGATACACCAATAAGAAGCAGCCAGAGACCCAAATAAAAAGTACAATCTCATTCACAATAGCCACAAAAAAAAAAAAAAAAAATGAAATACCTCGGCTTCTTCCTAACCAGAGAAGTGAAAGACCTTTACAATGAAAACTACAAAATGCTCAAAGAAATCCAAGAAGACACAAGCAAATGGAAAAATATTCCATGCTCATGGATAGGAAGAATCAGCATTGTTAAAATCTCAATTCTACCAAAGGCAATCTATAGATTCAACACAATACTCATTAAGTTACCAACGTCATTCTTCTCAGACCTGGAAATGACAATACAGAAATTCATATGGAAACATAAATGACCACAAATAGCCAGAAACAATCATTAGCAATAGAAACAAAGCAGGAGGTATCACACTTCCAGACTTCAAACTTTACTATAAGGCTACAGTAATCAAAACAGTACAAGTGTGTTTTTTTGGTGGAGGTTTTGTTAAAGATGAATTGGTTGAGTAATTGAGGCTTTGCTTCCAGAATCTCTATCTTGTTCCATTGGTCTATGTGCCTGTATTGGTACAAGAACAAGCACATAGACCAATGGAACAGGATAGAGATTCTGGAAGCAAAGCCTAAATTACTCAATAAACTCATCTTTAAAAAAGCCTCCACCAAAAACCACTGGGGAGAGGAGAACCGATTCAATAAATGGTGCTGGGAAAACTGGCTGACCACACACAGAAGATTGAGACAGGACCTCTACCTATCACCATACACAAAAATTAACCTGAAATGAATCAAAGACCTAAATGTAAAACTTCAAACTATAAGAATCTTAGAAAATGCAGGAGACACCCTTATGGAAATTGGAACTGGCAACCAATTCCTATTCAGAACCCTAAAGGCCAATACCTTAAGAAATAAGATAGACAAATGGGACCTCATCAAACTAACGAGTTTCTGCAAAGCAAAAGAAACCATCAAGAGAGCAGGAAGACAGCCCATAAAATGGGAAAAAATATTTGTCAACTGTATATCTGACAAAGGCCTAACATCTAGGATCTACAAGGAACTCAAATGTGCCAAAAGGAAAAAAAACAAACAGCCCCTTTTAAAAGTGAGCAAAAGACATGAATAGACACTTCTCAGAAGATATACGGGCAGCCAACAGACACATGAAAAAGTGCTCAGCCTCACTCATTATCAGAGAAATGCAAATCAAAACCACATTGAGATACCACCTAACCCCAGTAAGAATGACCATCATTAATAAAACAAACAACACCAGATGCTGGTGAGGATGTGGAGTAAAAGACACGCTTCTACGCTGCTGGTGGGAATGGAAACTAGTGCAACCTCTTTAGAAGACAATGTGACGATTTCTGAAAGAACTAGAAATTGACCTTCCGTATGATCCAGTAATTCCCCTGTTGGGAATATACCTGGAGGAACTCAAATCATTCTACAAACAAGATACCTGCACACATATGTTTGTTGCAGTTCTATTCACGATAGCAAAAACATGGAACCAGCCATGTTGCCCATGGAAGCTGGACTGGATAAAGAAAGTGTGGTACATATACATAATGGAATATTATGCAGCCATAAAGAAGGACAAATATATGGACTTCACAGCAACTTGGATGGATTTGGAGTCGATCATATTCAGTGATCTATCACAGAAACAAAAACAGAGTACCATATGTTCTCACTCATAAGCAGAGCTTGAGCAATTATAATACTATAAGAAAGGGATTGGCAGTAGTGGGAAGCTGTCGGGGATGGGCAGATGGGATTGGCAGTTGAGGGGAACTGTTAGGGGAAGGATGGGCATACCTCATCAACAAGGGTACCTGCATAATCAATGTTTGTATACCTAATTCTGAACTGTATCCCACATCTTTATAATAAAAAAAAAATTAAAAGCTGTTTCGAGCAGTGGAAAAAGTGTCTTGACAGGTATATTGCATCAAATGGAGAGCACGTCAAAGGTGACTGAAGTTTAAACATGTAAGCACACACAATTTTTTATAAATAAATCCCAGATTTTTGGGGGTCTCCCCTCATAATACTAGATGAACTCAAGTTACCAGACAAAAGCAAGAAAACTTATTTGTATATGTTCATTAAATGCAGTGGCTTATGATGGAAGCTCTCTCTTAATTGTATACTTACTCTTCCTTCTCACCAGAACTTCCTGCTGCACCTACTAATATCTTCACTGCACTCTGGGACAGAGTCTCATTTCTATATTGTCTCTGGTAGCTCGCCTAAAAGAAATGGTTATCCAAATTATTATATAACATAGATAACAATGTCTTACTACCAGCTTTATGAAAAAAATATTATGTGGAAATAAGTCAAAATACTCAAATAATCTAGTATGTTTACAAATCTTGCTATAGAGTCCAGGCCATGAAATTAGTGGAGTAAGTCTGGGCTTTGGATGGAGGGAGACTTGTTCTAAAGAAAATTATGTCCTAGCCGGGCTCGGTGGCTCAGCCTGTAATCCCGTGCCTTTGGGAGGCTGAGGTGAGTGGATTGCCTGAGCCCGCA